ATAATTTCACAAGTATTTTTCCAATAGAACAACTCAAGAAAAGATGCAAGAGATCATCAAGAAATATAATTTTATTGTTCAAACAATACGCTAGAGTTTTTAAATCAAGAACAATAAAATATCAAGGTAAAATCTATATTTTTTGAAAACTAGGATTTTAATAATAAGAATGAGAGTTTTTATGGCTATCAAATGATAACATCATGCAAGACATGATACAATTTGCCAAAAAACTAAGAAACAATGATTTCATAACATATATATAATAAAACATGAAAGAACTTGAATCTTATACCCAAGATATTCCTCCGCCCCTCCCTGAAAACCATCACATCCAACCCAACCCAACCCTTCCATCATTTCCAACCCAATCTAACCCAACCTAGACCCAACGGCTCCCTGCAACACAGACCCAATGGCTCCTTGATGTACTTTCTCTCTCTCTCTCTCTCTCTCTCACCTCCTCCCTCTTTGCTCTCATCTCAGCCCCTTCTCTCTCATCTCACATCCGTCCTCACCTTACAATCAGGCGGCGAGACAGGCGGTCACTTCCCCAAATTCATGGCACGGTCACTTCCCCAAATCCATGGCATGGTCATATCCCTTTCAATATTTTCTTTTATCTCCCTTTTTTCTTTAACTTCCCCTTCGTTTTTTTCTTTCAGCCACCGCTAGGTATTTATGTACCAGTCCAGCCCCAACACACAACACCCACACACATCACTATCTGCCCCTCTTTCACAGGCAGCGACCATTGTGTCGNCCTTCGGTTTCTTCTTTCAGCTCCCCAACACACAACACCCACACATCCACACACATCACTATCTGCCTCTCTTTCACAGGTAGCGACCATTGTGTCGATTATATTTGGGTCGGTCTCTCTCTCTCTCTCTCTCTTTGAGACGGAAATGATATGGAATAAGGGGATGGTGGTGGCAGTCATGGTTTGTCGTAATGCACATGAAGTGTTCGTCAAAATGTCTACTGCCCCAATCACCACAACCTACACCCCTTCCCCCCCCCCAACACACATATCTATAACAAATAATGACCCACAAAAATTATACAAACATTATTTAAAGTAGTAAATTTTAGAGGTATGCTACTAAATTTTTTTAATTGGTACTTTAGCAAGTCCCATTCATGGTGATCAACTTTGATTGGTTCTACTTTATATGATATGGTAGTCACTATATGCTAGGTGGTGGTAGTTTTGGCATCAGAGCCTGCCATGTTCTCTCTTTGGATGCTCAATTTTGCTGCAGAAGTTCAGACCCATTAAAATGCTTGTAAATATGTTTCTTTTCTATTTGAGTTTATGATTTTCTTCCTCCTTTAGCTTTTCATCAGTTTTATACCGAGAATTATCAAGTCTCTTTCCAACATCTATTTTTCCTGAATCCATCAGCTATTAGGGTTTATGTAAGAATTATCTATTAGGTTGTGGTCAATTTCTATTATAAAGTGATTTTTGAAGTTTAGAAATGATTGCCTTTGTACAGTGCCGTTTCATGGATAAAGCCACCATTGTGTCGATTACCATTGCGTACCTTAATTTGATTAATAAATTAAGTTATATGCATGCGTTCTTTTTTTTTTTAAAACGAGAGCATGGAGGTTGATCTACATTTGATATGCATTGGTTTATTGTTCACACATAAACTTAATTTGATATGAGTGGTTGATATTTCTTCGTTTTTGTGCCTACACTACTCTTTCTGATAAGACTCCCCTTCAACATACAGATACCATATTTGTTAAAAGGAGCAGGTAAAACTTGGAAATCATTTAGTAGGGCCAACTTGAGAGGTTTTCATTTTT